GAATTCGAGCAGTGTAAGGCAGATCCAGACATAAAATTCAAAACTCATAGCCACATCCGTAAATCAAGACCGATTTTTGGAACTTAGCTGAAAAGTCGGAAAAAAACAGATTTTTGTAGAGGTAATTTTAAATTTGTGATCTCGTACTTTTGAATCATATGCCCAAAATTTCCTGAAGTTATCTAATTTTTGCGTTGCGATTGTTAATGGAATCTAAGTTAGCACCGTTTATTAAACTGAATTTGGCAAATCCTCGAAAAGTGAAACTTCGTAAACAACTAATGGAATCAAACGGCAAATCCCACAATGGACAGACCGAAGATTACGGGGCATTAAAACTGACAGATAGACAGATTAAGCAGAATGGCTGAATGAAGATAACATGAGTCGTGCACTTTTCCCTCAAAATTTCTCGTAACTGCAACTTTTTTTGTATTTAACAACAAAAAGTCCCCTACCAATTCTTCAGCCTTAAATCTATGACAGCTGTGCAGTCCAGAGAATTCTTCGAAAATTTTTGGATTTCTTCAAATAATCATTTTAATTCTAACGGGTAATTAAGTATAAAGGGGGTAATTAAGTATTGCAGTTTCATTGTCAGTCAATCGTACATCCTGAAAATCACCGCTTTTCCTCGCGCTGACAAACTGCCAAAACAGTTGTAACCAAAAGTCAAAGTCAAACCCCGCTCCTGTTTGCTTTTAGATCGTAAATGACGATCCGAGACATTCGGAGGGAGCTGGAATGATAGCAAGCGCCCACGGCAACTATTCACTAGCAAGGCTACCAGGACCCCGTCTTTCAAGGACTGCTTATAAGGAAACTAATGGTGGGTTTTACTCCCTGACATGCATTGGTACCAGTTTGCCAATGAAACGAATGAAGGAATTGTAGAGGGAATGATTGTCGCGCCGCGCCGACGGAGTCGAAGTTTCGAACTTCTGTACGAGAGAAGCGCTGCCTGCACAGTGCTTTGCCTGCCAGCTTTCAGAATTGTACGAAAAAAAAGTAACAACATGCATTTTGTGCAACTGTTACAGCGCAAAATAAGATGTAAGAATCCAATTGGAAGATGCAAAATTTCACCAGACAGAGAAAAAACCCGAAGAAGGAGCGCTGAATCAGTGGGAACTGCGCTAAAGTGTAACATTTTGACGAAGAGTTGCAAAATTGAATTAGAGAATAGCCTGAAAAACAAAAAATGAGGGAAGGCGTGATTTGAGCCAAGGACTGCCACATTTTTGGTGCAATTTTTACTGGAAGCAGCCACTGCTGCACACTTTTTTTCTGCTAAAATGCAAACATAAGAGGCTAGAAATTTGAGGAAAGCAGCCTTTCAGACCAAGAACGTCATGGGGACGTAGGCGATGAATCCATCGTCTTGGCCCGAAAAGAAAGCCTCATTCTGCAAAAGCACTAATTCGCTGCTTTGAGAAGAACTGAACCAAAGTGAATTGTTGTCAATTAGAAACTATGTGAAGTTGTGCAAAGCAATGGGTGCAGTCTAGTTCTATCTAAATCATGCTAGGCAAAAGACATAACAACAGACGCGGCACCAGCACCAGCAGCAAATGAGTTTGAAGAGGAACAAATGAGGATCGATTTTGCACTAGAAATTGGCCGAATCCTAAGCCTATCAGTGCTTTCGTAAATTCAAATATTTATAAAGCAGTAAGTTGTCGTAAGAAACAGTGATCTGTTGTGCTTCCTGGGCAATGAATGAAACTTCATAGTTTGGGGGATTAATGAAGTGGATAAGTGGAGATTGCCGGAGGGTGGGGAACGGGAGTGCAAAGGAGGGGTTTCACTGATTTATCAATATCACAGATTTCAATTAACTTGAATTTCTTTTTAAACAGAATCCGAAGCTAAAGGACACCGAGGATTCAGCGTAAAGTTTGTTTTCCAGGATGGGATGAATCAGTTTTCCCTCGTTTTTTTTATGCGTTTTTTGCACCGTCTCAGTCAGTCAGCAAAAAGTATGGGAACGATATTCCTGACATGCGTACAACTTATCGTACCTATTCTAAAAAATGGCAAATAATTTAATAAATTAGAATACATATGTGTATGTAGGTGTGCATGCGTGTGTGCATGGACGTGTATGTTTGTGCATCGTTGGATTGTTCGCATGTTTGTTTACTTGTCCAACTACATTTGTTTAATTGCTTGTACGTTTTGCTTGTCGGACCACATAATTCCGGAAATACATAACCAGAAAGCTTAATTTTGATGAACAAATTCCACGATCGCTACAATTTTTCGTTGCTGATATTAACTGTCAATTCATTTTATGCCTTAACCTTTGATCTCGGGCTCGGGCAAGTTTCACGAATTAAGAGAAAAGGTACTAGTTGAAGTTACAAGGTAAATCTCCTGATGTCTGCAAATCTGAAAATTTGTAGAACAACTTTCAAATCGTTTTATGCCATGAAGTTTGGCCCCAGGCTTATTTCACAGCTTAGAAGCCAAAATAGGCACGAGCTTGAAATTTTGTAAGAAAATGCTGAATGCACATAGTATTCGAAAGCTAAGAACTAAAAGCTTGGGGATTTGATGCAGCAGTGAGAAACTGTATTCATAATTCATTTCTAAAACTGCAAAATTCAGAAAGCTGGAAATCTGAAACATTTTCTTCTAGAAGATACGGTTCGGAAGCGAAAAGCGCATTTACTTTTTTCTTGGCCCCAAATTGAGGATGTGAGAGTTTTGGCTTCGCTTGGCATTATGCCAGCACAATTTCGCTATGTAGCTCGATATTTGTGACAAGCAATAGTCCAAAGCTTTATCTGCCACTGGGCTACAGATTGTCATCGGTCGAATGGATCAAATTACTATGGTATGAAGACAAAAACAGTTGCTGTGGTGTTTTGTTACATGCATCCATTGCTAGTTCGCATCCCTATTCATAAAAAAAAAAAACATCTCATTTAGCAATAACGATGAGTCTAATCAATAAAGTGACAAATGAAACATGTCAGACTTTTGATAAACATAAACATCTCTACCCTGTTACTTAAACATGTATGGTTTCCATTAATTTATATAATATTCATCCTGACTACCTGTTTTCCATATCCTCTCTCTCCCCCCCCCCCCCCCCC